CTGCAAAGAGCAAGGGTTTAGGGCCGGGTTCGGTTTAAGGGTTTAGGGTTTGGGGTTTCGGTTTAAGGGTTTAGGGTTTAGGGTTTAGGGTTTCGGTTTCAGGGTTTAGGGTTTAGGGTTTAGGGTTTCGGTTTAAGGGTTTATTAGGGTTTAGGGTTTAGTGTTTAGGGTTCGGTTTAAGGGTTTAGGGGTTGGTGTTTAGGGCTTAGGGTTTCGGTTTAAGAATTTAGGGTTTAGTGTTTGGGTTTAGGGTTTAGGGTTAATGACTCCTACATCAAGCGTTAGGGCTTAAGGTTCTGGTTTGAATGCCAAGTGCTAGACCGTTCCAATCGTGGTCTTATGGCAAGCTTCTGCCTGCGGGGCTGACAAGTAGTTCGCGCAATCTTAACATCGTTAGGGCTCCGTTACACTTCTGTGTGTGTGTGTGTGTGTGCGTGTGCGTTCTTTGGTGTGTTGGGAAGCTATGTGCCATGGTGTTGAAGATAACGAATGCTAGAGGTTCGTTTAGGTGATGCAGGTAAGGTCTGGGCCCTACCTGAACCTTACGAACCTGCCGTTTTAGGGTTCCCGATGAGTGCTTTCACATAAAACTCTTCGACCCTCAGCCCCAAAAATCCTTAAACCTAACGGTTTAGGGTTTAGGGTTTAGGGCCCACTTTAGGCATGTAAGTCATACACCATTCAGACTCTATTGCTGGTGGCGCCTTGGCGGTGGGCAGCGGAGCAGTAGACGAGAAGCTCGAGGGTTCGGTTTTAGGAGCCCTAAATCTTGAACCCTTTAGGGTTTATCGTTTAGGGTTTAAGGGTCCTAAATCCAGGCTGCCATCGGATTTTCCGGAGGGTCCATGTTGTCATATACCCACAAACCAGGGACCTAGGGAGCTGTAGGAAATCCCGTTGAAGCCTCAGTATGCTGTAAAACAACCAGAACTTGCTCCTTTGCAGGTTCTTGGTTTATTTTACCCAACGAAAAGTTGGGTAGTTCAGGATATAAGTAGATGGACACTAAACCAAACAAAAACCCTAAACCCGAAGATGGACACCAAAAAGAGCTCAGAGCAGTCGGCGGTCGTCTGCTTTTGAAACAAGAGGTTCTACACCGGAGCTTCGTGTTGGAGCGGGTGTCGGGTTTCGGGATTTGCTGTAGCCCTAAACCCTAAACCC